AGCCTTATCAGGATAGGTCTCCCCAGACCGACCCACTGGCTGTGAACATTCTAAACTAACACAAGTCTCATTAAGTGTCCATTTTAAGGGTATTACACAGAAACATACCAAGGGAACCTGAATCAAATATGTATTTTTATTTATTTACAATAAACTCATAAAGTACATCATTCTGATTGAAACTAAGGGCATACAGAACTGTCTAACAAAGGGGAATTCAGGTTTCGGACTTGTCTTGCAGTCTATGTGGGAGCTGTGCTGAATCTACTAACCATTTGTGTATCCATTGTCTATATTCTGCTCAGATGTGGAACCATTTCCTCAGCTCCTTGAAGGTATGTTGGGTGATGCCGAGATCAGTAAAAGAGCTATTGTGTTGCTGACAACTTATGGGTTTGAGCAAGAAAAAGAAGACTGTCTAGAAGATGGTTCCAATTGTTGTAATTTGGTCCATATGGACCGAGAGGAATAGAAGGACTTTCAATAACAAGATTCCAAGTTCGGATGAATTAATCCAGAAATCAGTGGGCAAGCTGATTTCTTGGGTGTCTATAGCTGCGAATTTTAGAAGTTGTAATGTGCCAGATGTATTTCTTTCTAGCTCTTGATGAAAAGTGTATTTGTTGATTTGATGGGACTGATCTCAGCCTCCTGTGTAATTTCTTATCAATAAATATTACTTTACCTTTTTCAAAAAAAAAATTTGTTATAATTCCAAAGCCTAGTGTGGTCCTCTTTTAGACAGTTCACAACAATTTTAGAATCTCCTTCTATGATCAATTTATTAATATTCATGTCTTTAGCCCTTTGTACCCCTTCAAGAGCTGCTAGTATCTCAGCCCTCGAAGAATCTCCCACCCTAATTAGACCAGAATGCATGGTTAACAGATTCTCGTTTTCATCTCTTATAACTGAGGCTGATTCTGCAATTTCCTTCCACTTTCTTAGCAACTCATCTATAAGAAATCTGCAAACATGTCCAAAGTTTTCAACCAATGCATCACTTGTAAAATGGACACCTACACTTTTGGCAGGGGTGTTTTTGTAATTCTACAACAATAAGCACAACCACCACTAGTGAATTCCTGTCTCCTGATATGTGCATGCTTTTGCAATGATTGAGTAGAATATGTTACTCTAGTTAATGGTTCAGAAGATCAGGACCAATTTCATAACGGCTGAAGTGGTTGAATTGAATGGCTCATTGCTTTGTCATTTAATTAATTTAATTAAACAATAAAATATTCAAAGTATAACCCAACTTGTTTTTTTGGTAGTACAGAGGTATAACCCAAATTTGGCTTTAACTTTGAAGCCTTGAACAACCTCCTTAGTAATTCGTTTTCTAGAAAGCAAAGCACTCGGTTCAACCACTTCAGCCATAATCAAATAGCCCAGGTAGGTCTGCTATTCACATGGCTTGTCCATATAAGTCCCTTTGAAGCTCCGTTTGTTTTGACATAAAAGAAACTAAGAACTCTCAACTTTCAAACTGAAACACATCCTGGTTACAGGGGGAAAAACACAGAAACATAACACTTGAGAGATTTCATTGATCATAGTTAGATATAAGGGTTTTGTCTAATTAATGCAGTTTGATTATAAAAGAAAATGATTAATGATCTAATAACTACCCAAAGGGCATATGAGCACAAAAGTAAACCTGCTTCTCAAATTGATATAAAGGTAACATGCATGATACATCCAAGTCATGCAACACAACTAATACCATCAGTTCCAGCATTTAATGCTACTTGTACAATTTCCTGCATTATTAAACATGTGACACAACCGTAGGTGCCCAGCATCCACAAGCTGCATGCTTAGTATGGTAAATGTTGTTGTAGAGTTGTAATCATGGTCGGTCCTTGCTGAGGGCCTACTTGTAGAATTTGATCATGATCTTGGTTGATGGAGTTTGAGGCTACTGCTACACCAGTTGAAAAGAAGTATTTAGCAACTACAAAATGCCACTGCTTACAATATCCTTTGTATTTGATGTTAATATGTTATCCAGTTGGTGCTGGTACAACTTCCATTCAGTAAATAGGGTCAAGGAACAAAATTCACATTAATCATGACAAGAGTAATATATTTTCCAATTGGACGTGCCAAAACTAATTTCCCTTTTTTAGCTTTTACTGAACATTTCTGTGGACAATTACCATAATGGTAAATGCCGGATGAAAGTTGTTGAGATAATAAATAGTAATTCTAGGACTTGGAATAGCGATGTTATTGATGAAAACTTTATTCCTTGTGCAGCTCAAAAGATTAAAAATATCAGTTTGGCTCAATTTAATTGGGAAGAAAAATGATTTGGGACACAGATATGAAAGGAAATTTCTCTGTAAAATCTGCTTATTATGTGGCTTATAATATGGGAAAGGGAAAAAGGTTGGGAGAGTTGGAAATGAGAATAATGTAAATATTTGGAAAAAAAAATGGCATGCTAATCTAGATCCTAAAATAAAGATGTTTCATGGAGAGGCTGTAATGAAGCCCTAGATGCAAATGCAATTTTTGCAAGAGATGCATAAAGCAAAATGCTCAATGTCAGATTTGTGGGGTGGGAAAAGATGACAAACTTCATACTCTCATAAAGTGCAACTTTGTGAGGGCAGTGTGATTTGGTTGAGAAATTCGAAGTGATTAGTTGAGTAGCTCAGACTACTTCTATGAATGGTTAAATGACTCTTCAAGCATGCTGATAAAAAAAAAAAAAAAAGACTCTTCAAGCATATTTGGAAATTTCTATCATGATATATATTGACTCTTGCTTCCCTTCTTTGGAATGTATGGAAAGCCAGGAATGAAATTTGTTCCTATGAGATTAGTGTGCTTGTGAAGAATGATTTATTTCTTATTGACATGTTAGTAAAAGCTCAGAGGTTGATTTGGTAACAGAATTGGCAAGAATTAGGTATGGGAATCTCAGCTCCTATGCAAAAGTCAAAGATCATGAGGGGTGACTCCCAAGCCCATTAGGAGAAACCTTAGAAAGGCTGGCTTAAGATAAATGTGGATGGAGGATTCAAAGTATCAGGTGGTGCATCTTTTGGTGTCACAGATGTTACTGGAAGGGCCATTTTATCTTTAGCAAGTTTGAGTCAAGATGTGCTTTGTCTCCATTTTCATGCAAAAGTTATAGCTCTTTTTGAAGGTTTCAGTTATTAAAGACTTAGGTTTGAACAAGTGAACTATGGAAAGCGATAGCACAGGGATTCTAAACTTGGTTAGCATGTAGCCTTACTAGTTAAGCGGCGAAGGCCGACCACTATTAATAGAACTTTGATGTTCTTGAATAAAATCGATGGGCTAAGGCTTCAACCATCAATACACCATAAAGATGTTACCAGTAACTTTGCAGTTGGCATGTAGCCTTTTAAAGCTTTTGCTAACAAAGTGGTAATATACCAATTTCACTAATAGGAAATAATAAACAAATTCAAACACAAAGCAGTAAAGCCTCCTACAGTCCTACCTCAGTTCTTATGCTGCAGTCTCCCGCTTTCTGCACCAGCATAGGGATCAATCCTGACATTTATTACAGTTGGCTTCTTTGCAGAAAATGATTCAGCAAGTGCAGCCTTGAGTTCTTCAGGTGTTCCAACAAGGTAACCTTTTCCACCAAAAGCCTCAATTAGGATATGATATGCTGCATCAGGGACAAAAGATGTGGGTGCTGGGTCATCTTTGTAAGGCCCTTGAATTTCTTCAGGGTTTCTCCTATCGCCACCATATACACCACCATTGTTAAAAACAACCACAACCACAGGTAACTGGTACCGCACCACTGTCTGCAGTTCAAGAAAGAAAGTATTTCAAAATGAAAATTATTTTAAGCAAACTACCACGCATGAGTACATTAACATATATAACTAACAAAATTTACTAAACGAAAACACATGTAGCATTTAATTTCTTGAGATCTAGTAAATATTTTTTGGATAAATAACACTCATCAAGTAAAAACATTTGTTTGGATATATAATGCTCACCAAATAAATACATAATAAATTTGTTTTAACTTGAGAAAATGGATAGAATTACATTAATAAGGTAAGGGAAAATTTCTTTGCTATCTGGTTTTCAGGACAGTTTTTAGATTAAGTCCAAGATCAACCAAAAATGTAGCTGATATGTTTGCAAAACAACGGGTCATGATCAAATGTTTTTGTGGTATAATCCTCCAGGGTGGGAATTTTTGTTTACAACAAATAATATTGGTGAGAGCAGCTAGCCAAGGCAGCTACTCCAGAGTGGTGTTTGACACAAAACTGTACATTTCTTGTTATGGATAAAGAAATCTTTTCTATCTGGGAGATGATAGCAGGGTACAATGAGGACATAAGTATCATAGATTCTCCTGAGTTCTCATAATAAGATTCTTACAACTCTTCACCCAGTCGCAGACTATCCCTACACCAAAAATCAGGTTGGTAGCCAAAACTCTTGCTTCTCTACCCAAAATCTTAGCACCAAAGGTATGTCTTCCCCCAAAACCATTTAAATAACCACCAGTTGGCAGTCCCTTTCCACTTGTACTTCTGTCCAGATAGCTGTTGAAGCATATTTAATCCTTGAAGTAATACTAACAATTTTACCCTCGAAGAGTTTCCAAAACCAACCAATCCTCAGAAACTAATTGAAATATTTCCCTTGTCATCTCGAATTGCTCCTCCAATACCAGAAGCATCTTGGTTGCCTACGTTGCACCCATCAATGAAGTTACAAAAGTCAAACAGATCACCCAAGCATTCATGCAGGATGCATTACCACTTTGACTTGCTAGGCTTAAAACAGATGGATCTTGATTATAGATCCTAAAATGAATCATATCTCTTTATGGAGGCACCAATGTTATCTAAACCAACCACAGGCATTTGAAACACTTATGACATGCTCAACCAAGAATGACTGAGCTCTAACCATCCACCTTCAAATCTAATCATCTCTTTATGATATGCTTTTGTATGAAAGGTATCAAAGTAGAAAATGATTTCCATGATTTTCTTCATGGCATGCACAAGTGAATTGCATGCATTTTGACCTAAGAATGCTATAACACATGCTGCAATCCAGTACCTATGGCACCTAGTGCCGGTGGTTGATACTTGGTACCAACCAGCAATGTCATGCATCAAACCACTTACATTCATGGTTCAAAGTATCAATACCCTGGATAGGCAAAAACCACATACCCAGAGTTTTCAATAATTGATTTTTAATTTTTTTCAGTTTGATAATTCACAGATAGAGATATATTAGGATGTGTATTAATGTTTAAAGTTCAAACCTATTAAAAGGCCCTAACTCTCAGTATTTAGCATTTCGGTGACCCTGAAAACCAATGTGTTGTATGAATTATGATACGGTACAATATGCATCAATACTTTGAACAATGCTTCATTATTAAAATATGACATTGCCTATTTGCCTGAAACTACAATGAATAGAATATGGAACAGTATGGCATGGCATCTGCAGGCATGTCAAGAGGCACCTCAGCTGAAAGCAAAGAAAGAAGGGAAAGAAAGCCTGGAAACAGGGATCGCTCAATTGATGACAGCTCTAGTAGTCCTACATATAAAGCTCTCCAGTTACATTCAATGATACAAGCATGGATGGACCTTAGTTGGCCATGACCAGCCATTCAGAATTTCAGATAGTGGACTTTCTCAACCAGCTATGCAGCACCAATAGAGCAAATATTGATGTCCTTTATTCTTTACTTGATGCTTAATTAGTTAAAGAATTCATCATTTAATTATTAGGCCGGAAAGCTTGTTTAGTTAGTATCTCAATAATAAATACTGAGTTTAGGCTAGTTCCAAGGAATTTAATCAAGGTGACAATTAAATTAGGAATCTCTCCTCTAGTTTTAAATTTGTTTGAAAAGGAGCAACAGAAGTATCAGCATAAGGTGCCACTAGGCCCATTTAGACCCATGTAAGCCATATTTCAGATACCTGGGACCAATATTGGGTGATAGCCGATTTTTAAACCTATGTTTCAGATCTGACAAAATCAAGATTTTAATAGCTAGTGTTTCAGATGAAACTGATAATATGGCAGGACATGGTGACCTATGACATGCTGATGGCTTCCCTATTATCAGTTTCACCTGTGGGACCAAACTGAAATGAATTCCCATACATTGAGTTTGAAGGTTGGATTTTTGGTATCACAATAAAAAGTACAAATTTAGAGATTTGAGCAATAAAGCATGGCTTAACATTTCTATCTTAAAGTAATCCAGTTCCCTTTAAATGGGGAAGGGAAGGGGCCATTACTTGGTTTTATGGTAAAACCTCAGGCTGGCAAGTGTGAGAACACTGGACCAACAGTGGGCAATAGGGAGGGAATTCTCTTCTTTTTGCCACTTATGACTTTTTTTTATAAGTTTCTGCGACTTATGGCTTGTGAAATCAAATTATGATGGAAGGCTATAATAGATATCCTGAAATTCAAAGTTTCAAACTGATCGCAGGAAAAAACTAAAAAGGTGTAGCTCATATTTGCAGAATTACAATGATATAACCCAGCTAAAATAGATGAAAGTTTCAATTTAACTCTTTGGACTCATTCAATCCACGTGGACAGAAAAGTGTCAAAGGAAGGCAATGGAGTCAATGAATGACTAAATCCTGAGTGTTGAACAGCAGATAGATCAGATTAAACCCCAGACAGAACCATCTTCCATACCATATAAAGAAGAGTCCATTCAAGAAGAAAAACAAGGTAATGTTTTATCAGGAGATTCAATAAGGAAGCTGGAAGAAAAATTCTAAGGTAAGATCAGATACATGTAGAAACATAGGAAGGAGTCTGGATATGTTTCAGGTAAATACAGTAATGAATCAAAAGACTTACTGATATAAAATCCGTGGTTTACAACAGGTGAAAAAGAATCGGTTAGCATTAGGCTTGTGAGAATCCAATAGTTAGTTTTCTTTTATCAGTAGAATCCAATTGTTAGTTTTGTTGCTTTCATTCAATCAGACGTATGGAACACTATCTGTTGTGGGGATCTGATAAATGAAACCGAGGAGGATTCAAGATACTTTTTCTATTGTTCATATGGTTTAATCTCAGTTTCTCCAGTTTATTTCTTCAGGCTTATCCGGATGAATTATTTTGTTAGTAGAATCCACCTGAAACCCCCTCCCAGCTTCTCAGATTGCCTAGTTGCTGGTTGAGTGGTCATTGGTTAAACAAGAATTTCCGCCCTCCGCTCCGTTGATTAGCAGTCTAATTTCTAGCCAACAGTAGTGTATTGTGTGTTTCTCTGTGCATATAATAAACGGATATATGTATAAGAAAAGGGTCAAACCTCGACTTCCATGGCACTAAACCCAAATCCAGAATCCCCTTCAACAGCAACTACGAGGCGACCAGGTGATGCCACAGCAGCAGCAATGCAGTAACCCAGACCAACTCCCATTGTTCCCCAAGTCCCTGCATCCAACCTAGTCCTTGGCTCCGTCTGAACCAGTACAGACCGACCAACATCCATCGTGTTTGCACCTTCCGAGACCAAAATCGGAGCAGGGCTCCCCTCTGCAAGAATTGCATCCCTTATAATCCTCATCGGTGTAAGGAAGTTAAACGGCACGATATCCTTTGCCAACTGCAATTCCATCCTTGACACGTTCTCCTTTGCCTTCTTCGAAATTGCTTCAACCCAAGGATGAGACTTCCCTAAACAGAATGGATCATCCTTAATCTCTCTATTTATCAAGCCCACAATAAGACGAGCATCACCAACCAAACCCAGGTATGGTTTCCGAAGCTCAATTTCTTCCTCAGAGATATCAACCAGAATAAATTTCACGTCCTTAGACCATCTAGGAGGCTCGCCAAAGTGCAATAACCAGTTAAGCCGCGCACCCACAACGAGTGCAACATCACAGCGACCAATTGCAAGTGACCTTGCGGCCGTCGCAGCTAGTTCGTGTGTGTCAGGTAATAATCCCTTCCCCATGGGTGTGGGCAAGAAGGGGATTCCCGTTGATTCAACCAACTTTTTCAGTTCATTCTCGGCTCGAGCAAAAGCTGAACCTTTCCCAAACACAATTAGAGGCCGGTCGGCGTGTCGGAGCAAAGACACTGCGTTCTCAATTTCTAGGCTTCCAATAGTCTTTCCAATTGTTTGTCCAGTCCTGGAATTCTCGGCCGCAGCCAAGAGCTTAGCAGCTTCAGACTCCGAAACCGTTTGGTGGAGAACATCGGATGGGAGATCCAAGTAGCAACCACCAGGCCTCCCCGAGATTGCGTGAGTGATGACATCGAAAACGTGAGTAGGGATTTCTGAAATATCAGTCACCTTCGCGGCGAATTTCACAAAGGGTTTCACGGCAGCAATCTGATCAAGCTCCTGAAAATCTCCCCTACCGAAATCCTTCTGATCACAGGAGCCAGAGATCATGACCATCGGCCATGTATTAACTGCAGCGTTGGAGAGCCCAGCAAGCCCGTGTACGCAGCCAGGACCCGAAACGGTAAGGAGAACTCCAGGTCGACCGGTGAGGTAGCCGTACGCAGAGGCAGCATATCCGGCGGATTGCTCATTGTGGAAGGCGATGAATCGTATGCCGAGAGAAACGGCACGGTTTGCAAGAGAGGTTACTGGAATCCCAACAACTCCGAACATGTAATCAACCCCAGCACGGGCAAGAGCTCGAGCAACTAGGAGATTTCCATCTACTAACGTTTCTGACTTGTTTGATTCTAAGGTTAGGATTTCCATGTTCTTTTGCTCCGTCTCCGCCATAAGAGCTGAGCTCAAGGTGAACTCTAAGCGAGGATTAGGAGTTCCAGCCTTCCAGGTAGCGAAGTGTATCAGCAATCAGAGAGTCAAATTGTACAAGGTAGAAACGTGAAAAACTCTTTCGACAGGAACTCAGTGGCTACCTTTGACCAATCAAAACCTTCCATCACATCGGATGGTCAAATATCGCCCACCAAAAATCAATGCACGATTCTGAAGCCTTGGCATTTTTCAGAAAAGCGGACCGAGCCCATTATTCAGGGTCAGGGGTGCAACTCAGTGCAAGAATTTACGTGGCTACCTCACGCGAGCCGGGTCCATTCTTAGCTGTCGAATTATCAATGAATCGGATCTGGTTAGGGGCAGGGTGTATCGGGGCCCGTTCCGATAATTAATATCGGCATTCTAAGTGCGGTCGACGGGGGTTGCGAATGCCGTACCTGGGTATCCATGAAAAACCGAAAAATCGAAAAATTAAACTGCGGTTAACCGAATCGATTGGTTCGGTTTTTGGTTAACCTACAAAAAAAATCAGCAGTTAATCATACCGACTGGTATATATATTTATATTTATATTTATATTTTATATATTTTTAATATGTCATATATTTTTTATACATTATATAAATATATATTCATTATATATAAATATATACTTATATAATATTTATAACAATCTATTTATAAATATATTATATATTTTTTAAATATTTATAATATATTATATATCATTTATTATTATACATATATTTATATAATATATATTATAAATATAAAAAACTGAAAAACTAAAGAACCGATGGTACTGATTTGGTTTCAGTTTGGAGAAATAGAAAAACCGGTACTATCAGTTCAGTTTGAAAAATATGCCATGGTTCGGTTAACTGAACTCTGAACACCCCTAATACTAGGTTATTTGAGTTTTCTTTTTTCTGAGACAGAGTTGTCCATAAAAACCCCTATTATTTATTAACGGGGACAATCAGATCATACCCAATTATACTCCACATCTACATCCATAGTTAACTTCATTTTTATATCATAAATCTTTAATATCTTAAATATATATATATATATATATGAGACTGTCTACATTGTCATGCCTCTCCTTGCTCCATTATCCTCACCCTACATTTTCCTTGACTCTCTCTCTCTTCACTATTCCTCAATTCCTTAATTAATTCAATATATTATCTATAGTAGGGTTGTTCATAAGAAGGCCCAACCCGACCAAATTGACCAACCCGGGCTGACTCAACCTGAGTCGGCCGGGTTTTCATCAGCACGGGTCGGTTTCGGGTTGGGCAAATTCCTAAACCGATGATTCGGCTCGGTTTCGGTGTTCACACCGACTTAGTTCCTAGTTCAAACATGAAGTTCCAAAGCCCATTAGGCCACCTAGTTTTTTAATGGTTGCAAGAAATTTTGGATTAGTGAATAGTGATTAATGAACAACTTTTGTGATTAACTTTTCATTTAAATTTTATCATAGGAGATGGCTGAAATGATGTTCAATTTATTACTGTTTTTAAAATTAGCAAGATTTTATCACAGGGATGAACTTAGAACCGAAACCAACCCAAACTGACCCAACCTGACTCAAACCGACTACATCGATTTTGCTTAACACAGGGTCGGTTTCAATTTCTATGTCAGGTAACCCGACCATGTCAAGGTCAATTGAAAAAACCACAATAAATCGACCCAACCCGACCCATAAACAGCCCTAATCTATACTATCTCCCCACAACTATTCACCCCTTTCAATCTCTTTACCCACATAACTAATCTCGTTAATTAGCTCCTCTCTCTCTCTCTCCATGTAATTATTCTCCTCCTCTCATGATGCCATGTCACCACCCTTCTAATGTTGGTAATCAATTAATGTCCATTACATTTAATTTCCATATTATGATACTTTATCTCATTAGTGAGATAAAATACATCCCATAAAGTAGAACCAGTTAGGATTCCTTACAAAATTGGATAAATTATTTTGGGAAGATTTTGAACAATCTTCCATTTCCATATATTCACCTTCCATTGCCAAAGAACAATATGAGTTACATTAAAATCCTGAGTCAAAACCTTGTAAACCCCATTCTTGGGTTATATAACACCAATGATTTACATAATTAATACTGATTAATTTAATTAGCTTTATTTACATAATTAACAATAAAATGGTTAATTATAAGTTTCCATAATAATTAGTTAATTTATACTAATTAATTTACTGAATTTTTAACACTCTAACCCTTTACTTTATTAGGTTGCTTAATAAAACTTAGTTAGATTGTTTAATTAACAAAATTATTTAGGAATGGCAATTTCCCCAGCCTCGTTGGATACTCGACCTCCTCGACCCAATGGGGATTAATAGGGCGGGGATGGGGATTAATAGGAATCCCTAATTATGGATGGGGACGGGGATGGAAAGTGAAGTCCCTACCCTACCCAGACTTCAGTTATATATATTAAATACTATTTACATTATATATACACCAAAATATATTAAAAATATTATTTAATTTTAAAAATTCCTCTATTTTAAGTGAATCTATTTTCCAAAAATACTTTTTGTTAAAAATTTTAATTAACTTTAATTATATAATTAACAGTAAATTGGTTAATTTCATTATCTTAATTAAGGAATTAAGAGAAAGGGTGTTGAATTGGTGAAATGGGAGTGGTGGGAAGGGGAAAGGAGAGAGAGTTTAGGAAGAAGGGGTTTGGAGAAAGGAGAGGGTAACTGACATGGATTGTTTTTATGTATATGTATATATAGATAGATAGATAGATAGATAGATTATTTACATTATATATATATATATCAAAATATATTTAAGATATTATTTAAATTTGAAACTATTCTTTATTTTAAGTAAATTTATTTTCCAAAAAATACCTTTAATTAAAAAAGTGGTGATTTGGGTCCCCACAGGAAACTGTCTTTGTCAGGGATCAGGGATGAAGGGTAACTTTTATCCTTGATAGTGGTTGGGGTTGGGGATGGAGACTTGTTTCAAAATCAGGGTTGGGATGGGGAATATGGTCTCTGTCTCGAACTCGTTCCGTCGTTATTCAATTACTTATCATAAACAACAATAATTTAAATTTAATTATAAATCAATAATAATTTATTAACAATAATTATGGTTTAATTAACCTTAAATTAATAGTAATGATGCATTTATTATTTTACTATGAATTACTTTCCTTCAATCTTATTATTTAATTTTCAAATTTTACCATACATCACACAGGACCTCGCTAGTACGACTATATAACATGAATCAAGAACACATCACATGTCTATTCATCTTTTCGTTGCTTTATTTCGATATTAAATATTTGTATTTCATTAGTTTTTTTCTCTATAGGACTTTAAGACGGGGGTAGTAGGATACTTCATAGTATAGTTTTGTATTATAGCATTTGATATAACTTTAATAAAAATGACAATAAAATAATTGTTTAAATATCGATTAAATACTAATTTTTAGTCATAATTATATTATTTTATATCTTATTTATAAAATTTACTCTTTTAATTTCAATCCTGACCTAATTATTAATCGAAACAAAACCACAAAACCAAAATCGATATAATATAAGAGGATGGACTCGCATATCCACATAGTAACAGAAAAGAACATCTTGAACTGTGAGCGTACACAAACATGCTCATCTCTAATACTCTAAAACAGCCCAATTATCTACTACGGCATTTTCAATAAAAAACAAACTATTAGTCACCACCGCAAAGAAGCTTGTGTAGACCTGTCACCTGTGGATAGAAAATAAAGCATTGTACAGAACCGATACCACCGTCACCACCGCCTTTCAATTAGTTCGGTTGATTCGATTCTTTTGGATAGACCTGACCTAAAGAGACCTTGTCGATTGAGCCAGTTTGAAACTTTCGATAGCCCAAGTTGTTAACCAATATTTTACCGCCCAAAGGGATTTTTCTTCCCATATCGATCTATTAGATGAGACGGATTATGTCGTATCATTGGGACTAGACTGAGACAAGCCAACCATCACAACATACATTAATATTCCTTTTTCTCCACTCTATATTAGACAATGCCTAGAGCTTAATTTGAAACAACTACATATCAATCAGAATAAGAATTAATGTAATCAATGTTCAATACAAATCATTGTTTTCAAAATCGGACCGGACCGGAAAAATCGGGAAGCAGTCATAATCAGTTCTGTTTTTCTTCAAAACTGTTTTTTTCCTCAAAATCGTTGATTTTGATCAATAAATCGCTGAACCGGCTGATTAATCATTTGAACTGTTAGAACGGTTTTGACGCTTTTCAATTTTTAATTTTTTTTTATTTTTTTGTCAAAACGGATCGACCGTTCGAACCGGTAACCGGACCCCTAACCGGTTCAATCACCGGTTTGTTTTTAAAAATCATGATACAAATACAAATATATACTACTGTTTTCAAAACCAAACCAAACCGGACGGTCGGACCGGAAAAACTGGGAACCGGTTGTTTGATCGGTTTCGTTTTCCTCCAAAACCGCTTTTCCCCCAAAACCATTGATTTTAGTCAGCAAACCGCTGAACCGGCTGATTAACCATTTGAACCGGTAACCGGACCCCTGACCGGTTCGGTCACCGGTTCGTTTTCAAAAACCATGATATATACAATGCAAAACCTTGTATATTGCATTTCTAAACCTTATATTTAAGGGGATGTTTGGAATCATGACCGTTTTTCAAAAAATGGTGCCACGTTGGATCCACATAGGCGTTTCAACAAACGCCCATGTATCTCATTGTTTGGTTCAGCCAATTATTAAAAAATCAAGCATGCCTCGAAAATCGGAACCTCACCGATGCACATTGACATTTCATGCATCGATGAACCGTTTCCCCTAATGGTTGACTGATGTGTATCCTATGTGGTGCTTACCTGTCAGCACATACATGAAAAATGGTGATAAAAATCACCTTACCAAACAGCACAGTGTTGCTCACTGCCTATATGGCAGAAGCATTTTTTTGTGAAGAACGGGTCTTGGAAGCATGAGTGCTTTTTTTTGAAAATCAGTCCCAAAAAACGCCC